TTTTTTTTTTTTTTTAACATATCAGTTTGCAGTTGAAATGTTTTTTTGTAATATCATATGAAGCTTAGTACAGGTTTGTGCACTGGCAAGGTGAAAACGCTTTCATGAGAGCAGATTGGCAGAGCAGACTGTGAGCTGAGATGCCATCATCAGATTTGACTAGTCTGAGAACTGGGATTTGTTAAAAGATTTTGTTCACTTATTGCTAAGGCAACCTGTTCTCATGCAAACATCACCAACCCTATCTCTTCCTCAGAGTTGAAGCAAACTGGTTAATCATTTTATGTCATTTGGTTTTTCTGATGAAAGTCAATTTCATATCCAGGAATAATAATCTGACATTATTATGTGTAGTTTGGACTTTTAGGATTCTTTTGAAGAAAGATGCAACATGATTGCTCTGACTACTCTTAGAGGCTTAGGTTGCTTCGCTGGAAGCTGTCCTGCATTATGTCACAGACAGGCACAGATGTTATAGTGATCTCTTTATTTTTCCTTCACAGACACACTGACAGCTGCTGCCTTACCCAGCCTGTACCAACCTGCTGTACTTACCTGCTTGGTGGATCGCTGATGGAAAGTTAAGGTACAGTACAAACGCTGTTTCTCTCTGTGTAGTGGATCCTGTGTAATTAAAAGTTGGAAGATTTGATTTGGGGAGGCTTGAAGTCTCTGTTCACTGATCTTTCACATGCAGTATTTAAATTGAATTGGATGTAATGTGACGGAGTAAGGTCTACAGGAGACATCTACAGAGACTGCTTAATTAATGGATTCTTTGTGGTAATACTGCTACTGAAGCAGCTTTTCAAATTAGATATCGTCTACTCAATTACTTATCTACTCATTTTAATCAAATGTCAGGAATTCGCTTTTAAATATTTGCCACAGTTTTATGAAGATTTTTTAGGACAAACTTGGACCCTGAAAGTCCCTGAAAACACATTTCTCAATCAGTTTGTATAAGTGTGGTCCTACGTGAACTCAGACGTTGGATCAGTTGTGGTTATTTCCAGAGAAATTTCTGTATTTGTGTTTCTGTCTAAGCTCTTATCACTGGTTGGATGTTGCAAGGCCTAATTAATGACAGCTGATGAATCTGATGACAATTGTAGGGTTGTCTACCTAGGTTGCCAGGTTGCTGTCAATCAAATATCAATCCACAGCGTCTTGATGATTGATTGAGTTGAATTTGATTAAACTCTTAATAGGTAATAACTAAAGATGTGTTTTTCTCTGCTGTGTAAATAATCGTGACTACCCACAGTAGTGCATGATCAGTGTGTATATTGCATACGAATGAAGCGTGCACACCTGGTTGAGGTTTTCCAGTGAGGTGAGCTCTGTTGCGAGGTTGTCAAGTAGTCGAAGCGGAAACAACTGCACAAATGCATCAGAAACCTGTAGAATCACTGAGAGGCTATTGTGTCTGGCCAAGCATTCCCCAGTGAGCTTGAATGTGGACAGTAGAGGACAAGGCCAAGGAGCGCTGATGACAGGATGCCTCATGGGATGGCTGGAAACAGATGGCTGGCCAGATGCAGGCCTGCTGTGACCTTGAAAGCATCTGACGGTAAAACCAGCAAAAATGTCTCAAAAACTAGTGACAATAGACAATACAGCAGGAGTGGCAGCCCTGTGTTTTTGTAATGTTCTTCTCATGAGCTGTTTAGTTGTTAGATACTTGTTAGTATGTCTGTTTCTTTGGTTTGTAACTCACCAGAGAAGTTGACCTTTTTAGGCATGTTCTAATTTGGTTTGTTTTGGCTCACACTGTTTCGATTGCAAGTCAACCATGGCTTGTAAACAAGAGACTGATGGGCTCACAATGCTTGTATTAATTGGAAAAAGTTCTGGTAACCTGTTGACCTGTAAAGTTTGAGAATTTGTTGTTGCAGAAAGGTCAAATTATCAGGGTGCACTCTGTGCAACTTTACTTAAGCATGACAGACTTATCTAAGCTAATTTTAGTTTAGTTTTTTTATCAGTTAATCTGACAATCTTATTCTTGAACAATAAATCAGTTGGTGTATAACTTGTGAGATGTGGCCATACAAATTTAACCAGTAAGCCATAATTTAACAAAAAGCCAAACTGGCTTATGCAGATGGCTTGTTTTGTCTGTCTGCAGTCCAAAGCCCAACCCAATTTGCTATCATACAATGTTTTGCATCTTTGTTTAGAAAATGACCAAAATGACAATTACCAAAATTGTTACTGATTATTTTTCTGTCATCCAACTTTCAGTGAACATGAAAGACATGAGCATGCATCCAGTTTTTGATTGATGATCACGGTAGAAGAGTTGTTAGACCTGATCTTCTGATCATTTGTAAGTGTTTCAGAGAACGTCTTGAACGATTTGGGAAAATAATCAAATTGCGACTTTTTTCCCCCCAATATTGCAATTGTGATTTAATATGGCCATTGTGCAACAAGTTAAAGGGCAGCATGAAAGGTTGATGCAGCAGAGTTCTCCACGCTTTCGCTCGCGTCACGTGACCACCTTGTAATCACGTACGTTGCGGTTAGAAAATTGCGTTTTATCATATCGCGATATTATCGCAAATGCAATTAATCGTTTAGCCCTACTGCACAGGTTTGCACCTCACTGTGTGTGTTGAATTTGTCTATTGGCTTGGATGACATTGATCGGTCACAGGTTTGATGCAATGAGCAATATAGTTGCTACAAATGTCCTGATTCAATTTTACAAAATATAATGCTTATGACATCACTTGGCCAGACTGAGTTCTCTTGTGGATTGTTGAAGACTTTTTTTTTTTTTTAAGATAGAGTGAAGTTGACGCGGTCATTGGCTGAACAGTAGTGATCTTTTGTCAATACCAGAAGAGACACGTTCCTGATGCAACTCAGGCAGCAGACTGTGAAGCAAACGCCACCAGCAGCCTGATATTGTGCAGGCCTCTGGGGCTTTGGGTCCAGCAAAGGGAGAGCCATGATCAGAGCTGGGAACTGGATGGTGAGGTGGGGGCTGTGAGAAATAAGAGGAGCTGGAGGAGGGTAGAGGTGTCAGGCGTATAATTGGGGTGAGGAGATCTCTGGGGTGGATAGAGGGAAGCTTTATTAAGACCGCTCAAGTCTGATGTGCTTGCACGGCCGCCTAGCTCTTCCTCGCACACCCACGCCTATGGCCCAATCTTCCATTTCCACAAGAGACTCTGTAACAACAAAGGGATGAAGGGCAAAGTCCTCAAGCTCCCTTCATTCACAGATAAGACAAAAGACCCCATTACTTGAAAAGCACTGATGGGGAGGCAGCAGTGTAGCAGTGTTGTTTAAAATCAAGGTCCTTTGTTCCTGCTCCCTCACTGGTAAGCTAAGTTGCTATTACTTATTGACAGTGCTGTCTTATTGTATCCTGGTGCTGTAGATTTAGCGACACTTCAATGAGACATGCCAGCAATTTGTTCAGTAGTCTACCTAACTGGTGACTGCTACATAACCTCGCCGACTCTTTGTAAGAGAAGGGTTAGAAAAAGGTTAAAAGGTTAAAAAAAGGCCCTTTCTCCTTGCCTCTTTGCTTCAAATAAAACTGTATTGAGAGCAGAACATTTATGAAATATTTACCACCCAAAGTGTAAGCAAATATTGGCGCCCAGAATGGATAAAAGAGGAATAATCTCTGTTGTTGTGGGAAAAGGGAAAACAAACTTTCCAGGGTGACTTCCCCCATGACTGATCGCATCAAGTCTGATGGTGAGATTAGGAGCTTAACTGCTTATTTTCCCCACTTTGTGGCCATTGAAATGTTACTTTTGAGTCAACGAGGTTCCCGTATCAATAATTGAGACCATTTGTAGATGCATTCCTCCTTTAAACTAGGGAACCCTGGAACTGTCTGCCATCTCACAAAAGCAGATTTTGTGAGTGACACAACAAAGATTTTGAGTTGAAACAGGAGGAGGTTTTGGGGAGAATTAGCGGCCCCCCTCAGTTCTCAGCTGTAAATTGGTTTCTTCGGAACTCATGAAAAAGGGGCTGGAGGTCTGTTTTCTGCTTCCTTAGTAGCTTGTTAATCCCCCACAGCTCTGGCCGGAGGGAGAGCTGCTTGCACATACATGGCCCTTGTGGAAATGGCGCTACTCCTCCTCCAGCCCTCTTCCGTCCTCTTTCCACTCTTTCCTGCAGGGCTTGGCTAATCCTCTGCCTGGTCATGGTGGGGAGATTGCAGGCTTTTTCAAAGCCCTTTGCTGGCTGGACTTCAAAGTTACAGGGATACAGGGACTTGAGGAGGTGGGAGAAAATGAGGTCCACCGCAAGCAAAGACTACGAGGAGTTCACCTCAGCTTTTTCTTGTGCCATTCCTGAGGTGATCTTTGTGGTCTCGAGGGAAAGGCTTTGTTGATTGGAAAGACAAGGCCATGGACAGTCTCTGAAGATCAGTTGGTGGTGATGTATGCAGAGCTTTTGGGTCTAGCTGTGAATGCTTGGTTTATGCTTTTTCTGTCAAAAACTACACAACCTACACAACCTACACAAACATATACACAAGACAGTGCTTAAGCAAAGACAAAACTATAAATAGCACGGAACACAAACAAGATGCTACACGTAAAATTGAAGCATGTCTCAGAGTAAAACAATAAAAGCTCAAACATTTTCATAGTGTTTCTTCCCGTCTACAAATACTAAGAGGTCTGCAGCCATGGTAAGTCTTGCAACTATTTTTACTGCTGCCAGGATCCACATTACAAGGAGAGGCCCATCACCCAAAGTTAGTCTGACAAGTTCATTCAAGAAAATTCTTCTCTACCTTATCTTTTGTCTGGGACTAATCTTATCGAAGTCTTATCAGTGGAAATTATTCAGCTAGATTTACAGGATATCTGCATGCCCAGGATTTGGGCTCTGTCATTAATCTTCAATTCAGGACCGTTATATTACTCCAGAAATTTGGTCCAAGTATTTATTTCTTTTTCACCACAGATTTGATGGAAATGCCTTTGGATGCTGAACCCCTGTTATATTTTCAGGAGTAAGAAGAGAGCGAGTTCATGCCAGATGAAGGAAATTCTCTGATATTAAAATTTTGTGTGCATCATAATGGTGTGTAGTTGGTTGTGCCGGCAGTTTGCTTTGTGCTGTATTGATAAGCACAAAGCATGTTCTGACTCTGGAAAATAAAATAGGAACTTTGCATGTAAGGGTTTATTTATTAACAGAGACCTTGTGTTGTTTCATCTGATGCCAGTCTTCATTTAATCTACTAAAAGGCTGCGGCGTTGGCTGTGACACAGCCAAAAAACAGCCGAAAAATGAGTAGGATTTTCCTGAAAGACAATGTAGAAACTCATACAAACACGATCCCTCTCAATTATCCCTTATGTCCTTCTAGAAGTGCGTGGCAGTGTTTGTATGTGGAGAGACCTGCAGGTACTTTAAAATCCTTAAAAAGCATCTTCTGCAGTTTGTATCAAAAGTTCCACTACTTCTATGACACAATACACATATTTTTAGATTTGGTTTGACTGCCGCTTTCCGAGCATATCATTGTATCTGATGTCCACTCTGATATCTTTATAACCCCAGAACCACGTTTTTAATTTTTCTACAGTTTCTCTC